GTGTGCAACAAGTTCTTATATTAATCTTAGATTGCGGATACAACACGAGGAATTTTGAAACTCTTTGCTAAAGAGTCCACATCTCGGAAATTTGAAACTGATACATAGATAAAAACAAAACATGATAAAGATAAGATAAACGGTTAGAGTCAAAGATGATAACCAGAAACTCTCGGGGTGTCGAGGTTATTGCTAGTTCTTCAATCATTAGAGCGAATGAACAAATCCTTTAGCTCTTGATGCTTTCAAAGCTGAGCGTTGTAAAGAGTTCTCCGAATAGGAGGAAGGTGGTAATATGGTTCTCTTCGTTACGGAGGAAGTTGATAAGAACGATCCCTCCAAATAGGAGAAAATTTGTGACAATGATCTCTCCACACGGGAGGAAATTGATAGAATGGACAAGCCACGAATTGGAGAATCCAAAGCATCTCTAGCCTTTAATCCAACAAAACTTGTGGGAGTCTTTAACTCTAGCTGATGGATCTTATTGGGCTCACCAGGCCCAACAAGAATGAGAACCAGTCTCGGCCCATCTCAGCATTTTGTACATCGTTGCCGGAGAACGTAGATATGGAAGGTTCCTCTTCATTCATTTTTCTTTTTGAGAATTATAGAGATACCTCATCAAATCGGAAGAGTTACAAAAGGAACATTTTTTTTCTTTCTTTTCAAAACATATACTTCCGTTTTAAAATATAAGTTGTTTTGGCGGTTTTTTTATGTTTCAAAATATAAGTTGTTTTGATAATCCTATGTATATTTTAACTTTATTGACTATTGTGTGACCAATAGTATTTTGTAGTCGTTTTTTTCATTGGTTAAATTATTTTTATTATATATATAAGATGATACTTTTTAGAAGAAAAGTAGTTTCTTAATATTCGCATTTTCTTTTCTTAATATTCGCATTTTTAACTAAAAACAACTTACATTTTGAAACGAATGGAGTAAAAGGATAATGATGGAATATACTAGCTTTGTGTTTTTGCACTTTTATAGTAAAGATATGTGTTTTTCCATCCATCTCTCTCGCTTATGTTGAAATTTCTGTTACTCACTTATTGAAAGCAAAATGGAGCAAAACTAACGAAAACATTGTAGCTTTGCCAATTCATAAAGATACCAACTATTGAAATGATGAAGCGTTATTATGGAAGATGAAAGCAAGTTAGGTGGTTCCCAAATGCAGACCTTGTCCTCTAAGCCCAGCTCGAACCGCAAGGTGACTTCATCACGCGCATAGGTTATGGTGCCAGTCCTCTCTTCTCTCCAATCCCTAAGAAGCAACCGCGATCCAAACCGCACTTCACCCTTCTCTTTATTATCATCCATAATGTCTTTCCCAATCTCGCCGTCAATATTCTCCTCATAAATAATTGCTGAAACCGCCCAATGCGGTTTGGAATGCTAGTCACTGATCATGCAGATGATTCAATCTTAGTGTATTGAAAACAACATGAAAACCAAAAATCGAATTATCAGAAAATTAATGTAAATGAATAAGTAAGGATTGAAAGTAACCTCTGCGTAGATGTAGTTGTAAATGTAGCATTCTTGACTTCTTGTAAAGAGAAGAAAATTGAATGCCTTCAGGGAAATATATATTGTCGTTACCAGCATGATGTTCCGGGGCTCGGATTATTAGTAAGTTCCATTTTGCACTAAGATGAGTCTCTGTAACGTTAAACCAGGCATCAATTCTTGTTCGCCGCTAAATCGATAATTTGCTTGTTGGACCAAACAAATACCACCAATGATGAAGCAAACTAAAGGCGAAACATCCGAGGATGTAACAAAACTCTCCTTATGAAAACTTATTTTTTACTAGAGTCTTATCATTATATCCC